ATGCAATCATTGAAGTATTTTAATCATACAAAAAATGAATACATCAAAGCTAATAATTCTATCATTAATAGTACCTTTATTTAAGGCCTTTCAAAGAATTGATATGCAATACGAATTAATAGATTATTATTATTATTATTATTTTAAATGCTGAAAACATAAAAAAAAAAGCTCTAGAAACGTTTTCCCTTTGTTCCGATCACTTTAGTAAATTCTTTGAGGTTTTCAATACATCGCATCGATGATTATTTTAATGGAAGCATTCAGTGCTGTGGCACCTGCGGCGGTTCTGTGACTTTTTTGTTCCGAAAGTCCAGAAGTTGCACTTGCAGCTGTCGAGCCAAGCTGCCGGAGATGAGGCTCAAATAAAGCCGAGGCGCAAGTTAAAAGTGGAAGTGGGGCTGCCACGAGCTAATGTCGAACCGGTTTGACACGCGACTCCTCTAAAATGAGCGAAATTAGGCAGATGCTGAAGTTGAGGTTGATGTTTACGCTGAACCCGAAGACCGTGGATGTAGCAGCTGCCACTTGCCACTTCAATTAAGCCAAGGATGCAGCAGGACCAGTCCCTCGAGCACACATCGCAGTAAATACATATTTGCCAGAACTGATAAAATATTCATTTTTCGATATCGGCCGTCTAAAATATGCAAGTGCCGCAAAATACAAAATAAAGTGAAAACTCAGCCGGCTTTTGAATTCGATTTCACTGCCTCCGTCGCCTGCCCTCCCTCTGGGGGAAACTGGGTTGGGTTTCGGCTGTGGTTCCTTGGCCCACATATCGATAACAGGTCCACAGACATACTGGCTGGGGGGCTCGTATCTGGCGGCGCACAAACACAAAGGATATCGACTCCCTTTGAGCAGAATGATGCAATTATTCACACTTGATTAAATACTCAAGAAAAGTGAAAGTGCGTGGAAGGAAGTTGAAGGAGAAGCTGCCGCCGAGGCCCACATTGAGATGTTTTCCAAAAATTCATAAATTTAAATTAGCAGCCAGGAGCCACCAGCCAGCAGGCAAATGTCTGAATGGATGGATGATGAAGCCATCGGTTAGTGTTGGGTCCTGTCCTCACCTTGAAATGGTTTTTCAATTACTCCACTGAGCCGCACCGAGCTCAGCCAGGATGGGGAGAGGGAGCAGGAGCTGGCAACTCTGAGAGCCATTAAATGTATTCCATCTCGAGGACTCGCACTCGGACCTTGGGGGAGGAGCAAGGGGAGGGGCAACCTCATTTTGCTGTCAGGACGAGTCTATGACGAGCCTCATTTGGCATCTTGCTTGATTTGCCGTTTTTATTTATTCATTCAGCTGTCTGTTTGCAGGATGGGGATGGGTTTTCAGGGACGGGGAACTGGGCATCCGGCTGTCCGACAGCTGACTAACCAAATCAATTCGCATCAATATCGAGCAAACCCATCAAAGTCAGAGCGGCTGAGAGGCGGGAGCGACAGCGGCATCTATAGCTGTAGCGGGAGCAATCATCTATGCCAGCCATCCGCCGCATCCTTCTGTGGGAATATTCTGCGTAGGAAGCACGCCAGGCTGCACATTGCTAATATCCTGCCGCCCCTGCCGCCCTGCTCTTTGTGCGCGCACATCGCATCCTTATACGAGGGTATGGGTTCGGGTATCGCTGCTATCGGTATCCTACTAATTGAAATTCATTCTCAATCTGCCAGAGCCAGAACGCAGCGCGCTCTTCTTTAAAATTACAAAATTGAATTTTCGCTTACAACAAACCCTAAGTTCAAACCTAAACCTAAACCTTCACTGGAACCGAAACTGAAACTGAAATTGAAGCTCCATCGAAACTCGTTGAACCATAGCAAGGGGTCGCGTCGCAGTCGTATCTGCCACACGTGTTGAGGGGTCATAAATCCCGATGCCGGCTAGGTAGCGCCCAGCCAGATATAGATATGGATATGGTTATGGATGTGGCATAGCCCGGGGCAATTACCACATGCCACGATGCAGCGGCGCAGCGGGAGTTCGGTGCTCGGTGCGCGGCGCTCGATGTTCGGTGGCGACTTCAAGTGCCGTGGATTCTGTGATTGTTTTCGATTTGACATCCAACGAGCGAACCCACACCATCTATACCCTTACCCTCCCCCCCACTCGACTCACTTGCCACATGCTGTCGATTTGTTTATGCACTCGCACACACACATGTGGGTTTTATTTAGTTTTATTTAGTTTCGTCTTTCTGTCAACAAGCAATCCGAATATGGCCAATGCACTGTCTATTTCGGTCCCAGACAAATTTAGCCGAAAACACACACAGGGAGCTCAAACACAACAATTTCGGCATGGATGTTGTCATCTCGTTTTAAAGAATAATTCTCGCACAATTGAAATAGCTCGAATAATATCCGAGATAATCGCACTCAGGGGAAAGCTCTTAATTCTGTATTTTAATCGCAAGGAAAACTAACAATATTTATCAAAGTACTTTAAAGAATATAAGCAGCTTTATTTTATTTTTAGTTTTGATAAGTACGAACATCTCCCTGATATTTTTAGGCACACCTTAAGCCTTTCAATACTGAAAGCTCACTTAAGTAAAGCCAAATAAATATAAATAAGATTAACCATTGATAAAAACGTTACAATGTAATAAGCAAAAATACAAAAGAGCCAAAACAAACGTAAATTTCAATTAAATAAGAGCCTCGGTAAGTGAAAAGCCCGAAAAGACCTGATAATTTCAATGATTCAACAATTCCAACTTCCCGCTGACACTTTTTAAATTTTATCTATTGACGCTTTCAATTTCGTTTCAGATTGAAGACCGATTTGGGAGATACTTTGGGGGATACTATACTACATATATACTATACGGGAGGGGAGGGAGCCGAGCTTGTCGACCACATTTGATTTGCAATTACGTAAGTTCGCTTAACCCACGCTTGGACCCGGGACTCGGTCGGTGGTTTTTCGGTGGAAAGTGTGGGCGTCCCGAGTCAATATTGGACTGGTTAGCGGTCTGAACTCAAGGTGCTGCTGCTGCTGGTGGCTCGTTAAGCCAAGTAGCCGCGTGGAGCCGAGTCTGGGCCAAACATGGGCGTTTCTGAAGCCCCGTTTTTGCAGCTGCCTCCGCAATCTGGGCAAGAGACTCGCGTTTTTGTTCAGAGGCCAGAGTCCGCAGACAGCGCAATTAACTTTGAGCCAGCTCGAAAATGACAGCGGCAGCGGAGGAGCAGCTTCCTGGAGATGGCATCCGCTGGATAATCTATACGCATCTGTCCCTGTGTGCTTAACACTCTCTATCTCTTCCCTTTGAGCAGCAGGAAGCCCAGCCGCTCAAGTGCCGACCACCGACTGCTACTGCTGCTGCCGCTCCTCCAGCCATTGATGGCGCTCTGGTCAAGCTGTACTTGGCTGGTGGTATTGTCAATGCACTTCACTACATTTGCCAACTGTCAGGGACAAAAAAGAAGCGACAAATCGCGACGACTTGCAGACCTCGTTCCCCCTCGGACTTGGCCCGCTTTTCACCGCTTTTCCCGCTTTTCCAGCTGTCCCAACACATGCTGCCATTACGGCGTGTTTGTCCTACACTTTTGCTGCTGCTTCAGCTGCCTCAGCTTACCCAGTTGCTTCAGTTGCTCTGGTGGCATACATTTTTTGCACCCACACAGGGCCACACATCTAGAGTTGACAGACGGACGCAACTTTTCTGCGTTCGTGTGTCGTCCTTGTGCTTGTTTTTCGGCTCCCTCGGCCTGCGAGCCATCCAGCCTGCCAGCCTGCGAGCCTGTCTGTTTGTTGACATATTATGATCCTTGATTATTTTGTGCTGACAAATACATGCTTTTCCTTTTTCCTTTCTCCAAACACACGCACACACATGCCCAAAGTTATGTACATACATCTAAATGCTGGCTGCTGGATGGATTCTGGATTCCAGATAGACTTCCGACTCTGATTTTGATTCTGACTCTGATTCGTGTTTGATTTTGTTGTTTTCGGTATCTCCTGGCATCTCCTGGTTTCACTTTTAGCCGTTGGGAGCGTGGCCTTCCTTCGGTCAGGTGCCCCGCTACTAATTGGTCTGGGCTCCATCTGTACTCCAACCCACCCACCCTACTTGATTCAGGCCTTATCAGCAGGGCTCTTAATGATGGGCGTACCTTTGTAAATCCGCTTCCATTTCCATTTCACATTTCAGGGCCAATTCTCCGCCCACAAATGTCATGCAAAGCCAAGCCAAGCTCTCATATATGAGAAAACCAGAGAGAAAAAATAAAATAAACCTGCTCCCCAAGCGAACCAAACCAAACCAAAAAGCGAACCAACTGTGGGCGTCGACACAATATTTTGTAAATTATATTCGATTGTTTGTGTTTGGTATCGAGTTGTGTTATTTCGACGGGGAGGCGGGGACCCAAAGCTGCTCTGGGATTGAGGGGCGGAAGCCCGATAAGACCGCAAGTGCAGCTCCGCACTGTAGGTAACTCCCAGCTCCACTCCCATTTCCCGCTACCAAAACCAGAACCAAGAGCCAAGAACCTGTCCCGATGACGATAATGCGTTTGATTGGAGCGGAAGTGGAGCGCTGTTGTGGTACGTGTGTCCGGTGCTGTTCTTGCCAGGCATAATGTGTAATTATTAATTAGTTTACAAGCTTCAAGCCCCAAGAACACAGAACAGAACGGAGAGTTTCAAGTCATCAGAAATGGATTGGCCACGCCTGCTCACTTTGACCGCAGAGTGCCTTAAAAAGTTGCAAAATGCAAGGCCTTCTGTCCCTATGAGCAACAGCTGTTACCTCTTGCTACTGGTGGTTAACCTTCTTCTAGTTACCCTTCTGTTAAGTAACCTCCAGATAGTGTTCTCATTCTGATGCCTCCTCTTACTAACTTCCTCCTTGTTGACCTTTTGTTAGCTAAGGACTGTCAGATAACGTTCTTCTAGATAACTCCTTCTAGTTACCCCATTTCCCAGGTTACCACTCTCCGTTTTCCGTTAACCTCCGGTTAGGCGGCTTACTTACCGAGACCCAAAAGCTGAAGATGTTTAATCCAATGCTGACGGCAGCGTCGTCGCTTTGTTGCATGCTGCTGCCACTTGATGTGTTGCTGATGTTGCACGGTCATTTTGTTGCTGTTGATATATATTTCTTTCTTTTGGGTAAACCAACTGTTTCTTGGGGTTAAAACAACACTACGCAGCAGTTACCGATGGCTGCCGCGCCAGCTGTTAAAGCCACACATTTGTGTTTGGGTCACCACTTTCGGCACTAGTCTGATGCGGATTCGAGACTTGGGATTTCAATGACTTTCGGCGCCCGAGACAGCCGCTTCCCGGTTACACCATGCTGGCGGATATTCCTTGGGTCAAATAGGGCTAATCCATGTGGTCTTGGACCTCCACTTGGCTAGGATTCACTGCTGGGATTCGCACTTGCCATCCGCTGTTTGCTGGATGTGTTTTCTTTTCTTTTTTTTTGGCGCAGACTCGATAATTTGGCGTTGTTATCGCGTGCGGGCGAGTGTGGTTGTGTGTGCGGCAGTGTATGAGTATGGGAGTATGGAGGAGCGGTATAGGCTCCGTGCGACGCGGTCGAGTAACGGGCCGGAAACGGAAACAGAGCCTGGCGTCCTCTCGGAATCAGAGCTAAAACCGAACTAAAACCTCGTAGCTACGCGGACCAGCGAAGACCGAACGAACTGATGTGCGGAGTGTGTTGGTGTTGTGTGTCGTATGGTGAGTCCCGAGAGCGAGGCATGGGATGTGCAGACTCGCTCTCTTCCATGCTGCGAAGGTGCGTATGCTCTGAGTTGTTGCTGCCAAGCCGGTTTATTGCCACTCACTTATACTGGGCCACTCGACCGTCCGGGGGTGGCTAAGTATAAGTGCAAGTCATGTGAGTACAAGCGCCGCCGAAGAGCCCACAGTGGCGTATAAGTCTGGCTGATGGTATAAGAATCAACTGGTTTGCAGTCTGATACAACTCTTGGTCTCATCTCGGTATTAAAGCAGGTACATATGCTGTCTGTATAAGTATAAGCAAGCTGTGTTTTGTATGCGATTATAAGGCTACTATGAAATATAAGACGGTATAAGTATATTAGTACAAGCTAGATGTATTTTATATGGGAGTCAATGAAGTACAAGAAGGTATAGTGCCCTATAAGAGGAAACTTCAAGCAATTTAAATATAACGTTTTTTCGTGACCTATTAGCTGTGCATGTTATTTTACAAAATTAAACAAAACAGCAATATATACTGCATTTGAAAATAGATTATTGCTCTTGTGTTCCAAGTATAAGTACATTAGTATAAGGAAAGTTTAAACAGCAGTATACGCAAGTATAAGCGCTCAGTATCAGAGCATTGCTTCAAGTAACTTTATAAGTAAAAAGTTCCTATGCAGTTGAGATACAAGTATAAGCCATGAACCCTACTCTCATACCTTACAAGCGAGCCATGCCAATAGTATAAGTATAAGCTGGACGTATAAGTAACTGTACAAATATAGGTATACGTATAAGTATAAGTACAATTATTCTAAGCTTCATCGGCTGTTGTGCCTTTTATATATTATAAGCATGCTGTATGAGTAGCAGTATAAATATAAGTCTCTTCGGCTGCTCTGCTACCCTCGGCACGCAGCTCTCGCGTACATATGTACATATACTACTACTGAACTCTCAGAGGAATTACATTAGCAGCAAAACTGTTATACACCGTATGAGTTCGACACAACTTCATAAAAGACACAGAGGTTTGACGTATTTCACGGCGGCTTCTTCTGCTTTGTTTACAATTTGCGGCGAGGCTTGGGGGTAAAACTAATACCTTAATTGCTAAAAATTGTATAGTGTAACGTAAGAATATTTGGCAGGTTTTCGAGGATCTGAGCTGCGGGGCACGCTTTAGTATTCTTCTCTAGCTCGTCGGCTTTGGGGGTATTATTTTAAAAACCAGAACCAGAACTAAGCCGGAATAGAAAACAAATAAATTCATAAGAAAAAGAAATGCAGAAGAAAGACAAAAGTTTAGAGTAAAGAAAAATAAAGGAAAGAGAGAAAGCTAAGTTTGCGAGAACACGGATGTTGTTATACTCGCGGTATGCCACCCAACCTGTGATCACCATTCTTGGAGGCATGACTCCGGTGACCCCTTTCGGATACCCTACTCTCACGGGTTCATCAGCAGATTTCAAAAAGTTATAGTTTGATGTCTTAATGGTTTAAATCTTTTCTTTTATTATTACTTAATTATAATCTTAATTGAACTGTAGCTAATCTAAGGAGGTATTTATGATAATTTTCTTAAGACGGACGATGTTGACCTAACCATAATGTACAAAACTAGTAGAACTGGCTCTTAATTTACTTTATCTAACCGTAAATAAGTTTTCATTTTACAGAACGTGTGAACCTAAATTATATTTACTTATATGCGAATATTTTAAAATCGATTCTAGGGAGTTTCCTTATATAGATTTTATTTTTTTACTTAGTTAATTGTAATTGCTTTTTAAAGAATAATGTAAACTAGGCACCATATGGATATCGACAAGTTTCTACTTCAATCTCCAAAAGATTTCATTGATTTAATTTAAATTAGTAAAACAACTGGTTGGAATCAATTTTGTCATCTAGTTTGGAATTTAGGAATTCGACTAACCTTTGCTTTCTTTTACACGAAAACTTTTCGTATCTATCTAAAACTAGCCTATATCCAACTACGAACTCATTTTCGATTTAGAGAAGCTTTCAAAATTAACAATAAACAGTTATTCGCAGAACCTATATCACGCTAAAATTTTACGTATTAAATCTTAAATTCATTTGGCTTCTGGGACTTCATAATAATAATTAACAAGAAAGGAAGCTAACTTCGGCACACCGAAGTTTGTATACCCTTGCAGATTGGTTTTGATATATACATATATTATAAATTATAATGCTGAAAACACAAACAAAACAGAGTTTTATTTCATTTTACCTATACTTTTATGTTTACAGTTTGACAGTTACAGTTTTACATTCCCAGTTTTACATGTTGTATACATTTACCGATCACTTCTATGGAAGCTATATGATATAGTTGTCCGATTTTCATAAACTATTAACCAAAATTCTAAAATAATAAAAGAAGCTCATATCTAAAAGTAGATAAGAATATGTTGAAAAACAACGAAGTTATTATTTTTTTCCTATTCATTTTCCGATCGTTCCTATGGCAGCTATAAGATATAGTCGTCCGATTTTCATAAAATTTTTACGGAAATTCTGGAATAATAAATATTGAAAAACAGCCAAGTTATAATTTTTTTTCTAAAAATTTATTTAACATTTGTATGGCAGCTATATGATATAGTCGTCCGATCCGGCCCGTTCCGACATATATAGCAGTGAGAGTATATAGAAGACTATATGCAAAGTTTCATTCAGATAGCTTTAAAACTGAGGGACTAGTTTGCGTAGAAACGGACAGACGGACATGTCTAGATCGTCTCGGCTGTTGATGCTGATCAAGAACATATGTATATACTGTATAGGGTCGGAAAGGTCTCCTTCACTGCGTTGCTGACTGAAATTATAATACCCTACAAGGGTATAAAAAAGGCGAATATAAATACATACATTACAACAAGGCGCTACAAAATGCCGGGGGAGAGGGCCTGCCTCGTCACTCGGAGCTAGCAGTTTTAATCTGCGTTTTTACCTTCTCCGCCTTCACATTGCCAATTTTCATATCATTTTCACGTGAACTTCCCCAAACTCAGATGTTTATATACATACATTTGTACATTTGCTCATACAGTGCGAACATTGCGCATAAACACTTGTTACACTTGCTAGTCCCCTGGGATCACTTGACTTGCAATTTCCCTAGTAAATGCTTTTTGGCAAGACAATTTGCTAAATTTTGCGAATTTCAGCGGGTTTTTTACACGAAATTACAAAAATACGTATACACTTGAAGACAATATAATAGCAATGAGAGATTGGTTTTTTTTTTAGTCCCATGAAATTATTCGAAATGCTTTAATTGAGCTTTATTTTACAATTATTTTATATTTTTAAATAGGCCAAATGTGTCACTGATACTATTATTTCGACCGCAGCTGTACTAGTGAAGGTGGGTTCTGGATCCAATTATGAACGAAGCGAGCCAAGCAATGAAACAGACAGTAAATGATTTTAAGAAATAAAACAAAAAAATCGTATTTAAAGTATAGCATTTAAATTGTACTTTCTTGAACTTTTCGAAGTCAGCTTTGACTGAGCCAAAATCAAGACAGAATAGGCTACCTAATTTATTATTATATTATTAATTGTAATTATTTATTATATAATTAGCTTAGTTACTTTGGAACAGAACATCCCAGACATTACGATATCTTCAGTATGTTTAACTAAGATCTGCAAGGACCCTGAGTGCCTGTCATATCGATGACAGTCCATACAAAGTACTTATGAAATTATATTGAAAACAGTGGAGTTATATGAACTACAGAGAGGGAACATTAAAAGCTATAACTAACACTTACAAACTAAATTATACAGTTAGCAGCGTCTTAATTGTTGCTGAATCGTGGATGATATGATAAAAAGGTGATTTATTTATAATGAGTTTGTCACTGATGACATCGTAAGACATGCACATGGTAATTTTATCAGTAATTTGTATGAACTGTCATCAATGATTCATCAACTACATGTATCTTGTTACAGGGTATTTACAAACTTTAATTTGTATGGAGGCATTTGGTTCCTCACAAAGGCTAACTTTGACGTAGATTGAACCTAAGTGTGTTTCCAAACAAAACTAAGTATTTTATTTGTTTTTTATTTATATATATTATATTATATTATCATAATTTTTTAATAACAATAAGAATTCCTTTGCACAAAAAATTATATATATAATATTTAATTTAATTTATTGGTAAATATATTCCTAACGCTACAAGTTAAAATCCTATAAATTAGTGCGATAGTCACAACGGGTTAATTTTTAAATTTTCATATCTGTCTTAAAACTAAATATTAATAATTCAAGCGTTTTTAATTTAAGAAATGGTTATCTTGGTCTTAGAATAGGAATATTTTTGGCTCTGTCAGCGAAAACATGAAAGGAGATTGTGGATCATATGGTCTGGCGATGGCCCAGAGTCCATTAACACCGTGCCGGAGTCCAGGTTGTCGCGCGACTTGTTTATTGGCAAAAATTCAGCTAATAAGACGATAACTCGATAAGGTTCAGTGTTGTCAGTAGTTTTCCATATCTATATATGCGACGTACTCCTAGCAGGAAGAATAACAAATTTTACGGCTTCAAAAATAGCATTTGTTTTGGTATTTCATGATAATCGAAAGGTCTTATGACTGTCGCCAAAAATAAAGTACGAGTGGTATCTTTGTCACCTTGATATTAAGGTAATATTCCTTGAGTGCACCGGGATATCACATGTATTTTCTATTGATTTGGTTCAGCGAAACCAATATTTCTATTGGCTAACAGCTTTTTTGGCCATAAACAGGTCGCGTGCGGCTCTGCGAACCATTTTCCCATTGGAGTTTACAGGGATGGAGTCCGTGAATTGGACCCCAGCGTGAAGCTGATGGTGCACCGCAGTCAGCCGCCTAGCCACGTGATCCACGATATCCTGAGAACTAATGGTCGATCCCTTGCACCTGACAACCAGGGCACCAGCATCGTCGTCGGTGAGTTTATTGGGAACGCCAACCACGCAAACCTCCTGCACCTCGTCGAGCTCTGATATTACGCTTTCGATTTCGCTCGGCCAGTAGTGAATGCTCTGGTATTTGAGATTGTCCTTGCAGCGGTCCACTACATAGAGCAGGTTCTGCTCGTCGAAGTATCCCAGGTCGCCGGTGTGGAACCAGCCCTCCGCGTCCTGTAGGCTCTCCGTCGCCTCGGGATTCCCGTAGTATCCATTCCACACTCGACCCGTAAGCGCATAGATCTCTCCCAGCTCGTTGTGTCCCAGGTTCTCTCCGTTGTCGCCCACGATGCGAACTTTTACACCTGGATAAGGCCTGCCCACACTGTTGCCACTCTCGATACCGAACCCTAGTGCTACTTGACCCGCCTCTGTCATTGCAAAGGAGTGCACAAGCTCGGCGTTGGGACAGAGTTTCTGAAATCGCTCCAGAGTGGAGGTGGCAGTGAATCCGCCACCGAAGATCACGACGCGTAGCGAGGAAAAGGCTTCTAAGGTGGCATTCGGATGTGTAATCAGCACATTGATATGCCGAGGCATTAAGGATAATACGTCGATCTTGTATTTCTTCAGAAGCCGCAAGAGGTTCTCAGGATTAAATGGCTCCGGACTCATAATGCGGGTTAGCCCCAGTACTGCGTTGTGGGCGAAGGACAACAGTCCTGAGATCCAGTGCAGAGCGGTGAAGGCGAAATATGTGGAGTTGCCATTCACGGTTCTAGTTGCTGTTGGAATCAGCCTGCAGTTGGCTATACAGACCGCCTTGGGCAGACCAGTCGTTCCCGAGGAGCACAGGATGGCCACCGTCTGACCACCGCCTTCCTTCAGCTGTTCGGGCCTGGAAATATTATTTTCTATATAACAAATAATACGGAATAAGTTTAGGGTAATCCTTACCTGTAAGAATCTTCGGTTGAAGTGGGTTCCAAGAGTGACTCGATGCTCGGCACTCCTTCGCGGTGATCGGTCAGTGTGAAGAACTCTGGCTGCCACCCAGAGGTTGCTGAACGGACTTTCTCATAGACATTTCCATCGCAGAATATCAGAGCTGGTTTGGTAATGGATAACTCGTGTCTTACTGTGTCTGAAATTGAGTTTTAAATTTACTTAATCCTTTTATCTTTTCTCTACACAACAAACCCTCGCTCAGCATTTGATGGGGTGAATGGAACGGGGTTCCGTTCATCGTGCAGGCCACTCCCAAGGACATCAAGTACTTGGAATTCTCGGCGGCTATTCCAATGATGTCCTTGTGGTTAAGACCGCGTTTCTTGAAGAACTGGGCAATACGAATGGCCCAGGTGAGCACTTGGCCGAAGGTTATTTCCTCTCCGGTGCTATCCCATATCTTAAATAAATGATATTAATTCGAAACACAACTGGGTAAGGACTAGAGCTCACTTGGCAGACGTTATTGGGCCAGTTTTTCATATTGTTGAATATGATTGCGCCCAATGAAGCATCTTCCTTGAATATTGAATTCTCCGTCGGCCCACTCCAGATCCTTTCCTCCTTGCAGAAGGATACAGGTATTTGCGGCATGGTTTAAAGATCTGCTTTGGTATCTGCTCACCGTTGAAGTCCAGAGCTAACTGTTAAGCATTGCCAAAAATAATTTGTCTTGGGGTAAACACACCGTTTATTGGGGTAATGTTTACTTTATTAGGAATATGGATGCAAAGCTCAGCGTAATATGCAGAAAGTGCGTCACAAGGGATCATTAATTATAAATAACCACGTAGAAAAAATTGTACAGGAAACGGCACGTAAAGGCTTTATGACTTGATTAACGACTCAAGTCGAGAGTCCGCTTAACACTAAAGTACTTTTGTCAATAAATGTGGAATATAGGCTATTGGCTGCCAATGCAGCCTTTACTTGTTGCTGATGAGTCGGATGTCTTTATTAAATAAGGAGTTATCGGTACTAAACAATACAAATAAACTACAGCTAGGGAGAGCGGATTGGAAGCTCTATGGACTGAAAGTCCGGAGGGAGAGGGAGAGAAGGAGAGCGCTTACGGGATCATTGGAGGCTAGTAGCGGGATCACACTGCCTCCAGAAATTAAGAGCCTTTCTGGCGTGAACAACGACTACGGTCACACCGATCGAAAAAGGTAAACAATAAAAACGGCAGCCATTCGCGGCGTTACAATGAATTTCTGAAGTCCACGTCGAAGTATTCACACATAAATGAATGCAAAAACCTTTAAATTGATGTTTTTGACCTATAATGCCTACATTTTTTTTAAATAAAAAAAAACTATTTTTTTTAATTTTACAGCGCAAGAACCTAGCCATAAAAAACATTATTTTTCTTAATTTTGTAATATTTTTTCAGATCGGAAACCAGCGAAATGAATAAAAAAAATATTCTAATGCATTAGAACGCCATTTAGTCGTCGTGCTCGCACTTGTGTAAAACGCTGTAGCGCTGTCAAATCTCTCATGAATTCTCTAATTAATGCGTCAGTGTCATAGCCGTATCATAACCGCATAAGCAATTTGGGAAATGGTTTTATAATATAATGCAAATTAAGTCTACATTATTACCTTTCTTAAATTAAAAAAATGAAATAGCGTATGCAGACTTTCGGGCGCTACTGTATAGAGGTGAAGAGTGACCAGTCAGCATTATTAGGGAAACCTGAATGGCTTGCAGAGTGAGTCAAGCTTTCAGTGATGCTATTTTTGGGTGCACTGATAACAACTTTTATGAGCCAACTTTCATATAAATACACACGGCTCTAGTCTGTTTGAACAGTTATTCACAAGCTGGTCAGACCTCTGTTACCACCTACAAATGAGCTACAACGAGCAGAAGAGGGTCTGGAGTGGTCCTCCACAGAGTCAGGTGTCCGTTTACAAGGACGACACCTCCTTGGGGGCATTGATATTCAGCACCATGCGTAATTGGCCCAAGAAAGTCTGCCAAGTGAGTGACCCAATATAACTATACTCTAAAGGCTTAAATTATTTAAGTAACAATTTCAGATATCTGATAGCGACGGCGTCAGAGTCACAGCTGAACAGGCGCTCACCTGGGCAATCCGGATGGCACAGTTCCTCCGGACTCGGGGCCTTACTCATAAAGATGTTATTGGCATAGTCGGCGAAAACACCACCTACTTGATGCCCCTGGCCGTGGCCTGCCTTATGAATGGAACACCGTTTCACACCCCACATCCCATGCTGGATGAAGGTTTCTATCCCGGATCAATCGTAATTATATATTTTATATACGCTTTCTTTCCGTGCAGACACCCTTAGGCATGTGTTATCGATAACCAAGCCTGGCCTCATATTTTGCGATGGAAATGTATACCAGAAGGTCTATTCAGCCACCTCTGGGTGGCAGCCAGACTTCTTTATCCTGACAGATCACCTCGAAGGAGTGCCGAGCATCAAGACGCTCTTGGAACCTACTTCCACCGAGGACTCATACCAGTAAGGAAGTGGTGTTACCCCTGTGATGGTATCTAACTGGGAATACTTCCAGGCCGGAACCGCTAAGGGAGGGAGGAGGTCAGACGGTGGCCATATTGTGCTCCTCGGGAACCACTGGCCTGCCCAAGGCGGTCTGTATTTCGAACAACAGCCTGTTGCCGATGTCCTTGTTCACCAGCGACACGATCTTGTTCACTCTGACCGCTCTGGACTGGCAATCTGGACTAGTGGCCTTCATCGTAAGCACTGTGGTGGGCGGCACGCGTATCATCACAAACAAACCCTTCACCCCGGAGTACGTTGCGCAGCTTGTGGATAAACACGGGGTGAACTTCATCTACCTAGCGCCTCGTCACATGTCGGCGGTGTTCAATTCCCCCGATGTCACTCCAGAAGCCTTCGCCTCCCTGAGAAAGGTTAGCTATGGCGGCGGTCAGCTCTCCGGGAGCACGGTGCAAAGGTGCCAAGATATCTGCCATAATGCGATCCTGCTCTCAATGTATGGGCTTACTGAGACGGGCACCGTGGCGACTTGCGTGGGTCTGCAACCAGGTAATCCCGGGGGAAGGCTACTTCCGGGAGTGGCGGTGCGCATCGTGAACAAAGAAGGCAGAAATCTGAAGCAGAACCAGGTGGGTGAGATACAGGTGCACACAGGACGAGTGTGGAAAGGGTACTTTGGGAATCACGAGGCGACTGAGAGCATGCAGGACACAGAGGGCTGGTTCCACACCGGCGACCTGGGATACGTCGACGAGCAGAACCTGCTCTACATTGTCGACCGCTGCAAGGAAATACTCAAGTATCAAGCCGTCCACTTCTGGCCTAGTGAGATCGAGAACGTAATCCTGGAGCTTAACGAGGTGCAGGAGGTGTGTGTGATCGGCATTCCCAATGAACTGACGGACGACGATGCTGGTGCCCTGGTGGTCAGAAGAAAGGGTGCAATTATAAGTGCCCAAGAGATCGTGGACCATGTGGCCCAGCGGTTGCCTGGAGTGCACAAGCAGCTCCATGCCGGAGTCCAGTTCACCAATGAACTGCCATCGAATCTGAATGGAAAGACTGTGCGCAGAGCGTCGCGCGACCAGTTTATTGCCAAGAAATACTCTAATACTTCGATAAGAACACGTTAAGAATCCCAGTAGATAGCCCCAACCATACATGCAATTACCATTAGGAATAAATAAAGTGAAACAACAATTAATACTCAATATGGCTTCATTGATAAACGAACAAAAATGGTTATCTCTGACGAAAACATCATAAATAAGCGTATGGATACCCTAGTTGGGGGTCCCCCGTTCAGTCCCTAACAAACCAAATAGAAGAATCGAAAAGGCGGAGCAGAATCTTTGGCCAAAATACACAGCTCGTAGCTAGAAAAATGCTTGAATTTGGTACTTCTTCACAAGCCAAACCACATTACCGGAGTCGAACGCTAGTTACCCCCAGCACGACATTGATGTCAAAGGACATCAGTCTCGACATCCAGAGCAGGGCTTTGCTGTTGTATTCGACGGTTTCGCTATTCAGGGCTGCAGTTGGTTGCAGAGGAGCCCAGGATGGCCACCGTCTGACAATGGCCTTCCTTTAGGAATTTCGGCCAAAAGATAATATTTTTTTATATGTATCATAATTATACAGAATAGACAGATAGGAGTGGGCTCTAAAAGCGACCCGATTCTCGGCACTCCTTCGCGGTAAAGGGTCAGTGTGAAGAACTCTGGCTGCGACCCAGATCTTAAGTAAATTATAACTGATTTAACCGATTTAAGACTCACTTGGCAGACGTTATAAGACCAGTTCTAAATATTGTTGAATATGATATGGAGTTATGCGCTGGTTATCTCCAGATCCATTCCTTTTGGCAGTGGGAAACAGATATTTGCGGCATGGTTCAAGGCCCTTTTTTTAATATCTGGCCAGCAGTACAGTCCACAGCGGACTCGCTCACATTGTCAAACATAATTACTCTTAGAGGTAATGGCTTAAAAGCTCCGTTATAGTTTTGTTTTATCAACAGATAAGAACATTATCGAATCTGAAGAGAAAATGTAGACTTTATTGGTTTATTGAAAGGCCGAATTGACTGTTAAAAGAATATGTTAACATGTATATTATCTTTTATAGTTTGCTATTAAAAAACTGACATTTTAGTCATTTTAAAACATGTAGATATATCATACCATTTTGAGCTATTTAATGTGATGAAGTTAACCATAGACATTTAACACAGGAACAGCAGGCACAATGGGAGGAATTGGAGTAACCCAACCAAGGCATCGATGAATTCGCTTTCCTCATCTTTTCATAAGTCATTTCGTGTCCTCGGACCTTCCTATTCTTTATTCGGAAATAAAGGCAAGGGGAATCCTTGCCAGTCGCCACCTTCGGCGACTCTCTTTTCCGGCAATGTATCACACTCTTTGGGCTGCTCCTGCTACTGCCTTGGAGCAAAACAAATCAATAAACGACAACGAGAGTTATGTACCCAAGGCCTCGGCAGTCCCCTGCCCGCTGCCCGAGTTCCCTTTTCCAGTTTCCTTAAAGCTTCAATTGGGAGCATCGGGCTTAAGCTACATCGCTCCTAAGCTAAGCCTGCATCCATCCATCAAGGCTCGAGTCCCCTCGGCCCCTCGCTTTTCCTCTTGCCTGCCGGATCCACCACATCAATCGTGAATCGAGGTCTGCATATACACCTCACCTTCCCCAGGCCCCTCCTTTCGATGTTCTTATTTGCACATGGCAAAAAAGAAAACCTTGTAAATTGATAAACAATTAGGAAATACGTTTGGCTCGGTATTTTTATATCAACAGATCTGAGAGATCTAAGATAGAGGTTATAAACCAACAGTATATAAACAAGTACTGATTCATATTAGTATATAATATACATAGATAGATCATATAACTAGGACACAATATTATTTATGTCAATTCTTATATCAAATAGATATTAATGGGGTGGTCAGGAATCTAAATCGTTCTAATGCGACTTCCGATTATTTTCACAGTAAATAGTTAATAAAGTATTCCCTATTTGATTTTCTCTCTGTGTGTGCCCCTCTTCACGATGCTTCACTTGTTTTCCTGCTTTTGTGTACTGCGTTATTCTTATTTTTGGAGATGGAGTCCCTCTCTCTTGCCCTTCCCACTCCCCAAAAGGCAGACATTCGTAATCTTCAGTTTCATTTGGATTCCCTGCCCCGGCGGCGGCCCCTCGATTTTCTTTGAGTACCCGGCATCCAGCCTACGTTGTTTGCCGTTGGGCTGGGGGTGGGCTTTTCCTGGGGAGGCCGGTCGGTCGGTTGGTTTAACTAGATTTCCTCATTGTTGCTGCCAATATTTGCCCATTGCTGTTGATTCTCTTTGCCGTAGCAGTACCCGGGCTACACCTGTTCGTACCCGTGTGAGCGTGTGTGTTTGCTGGTAAGCTTTGCATTTCCACACCTCAATTTGCCTGTCGGCAGGTGGATTAACTGCAGAATGCATTCCGTATTTATTCTTTAATTCCCCGGCGAACACACGTACACGAGCACACGTTCTAATGCCGCTCGAACCTGGCACTTTTATAAAAATTAAAAGCAAATATTTCCGCACGCATACCGAACAAGTGGAGCATAAATATTTGTCTGAAAAATGAGCCATCCAATTTCTGTTCATAAATAAGACGAGAAAGCGAGAAATACTTAGGCAACTCGTGGGGCTCTCCTCCTTCGGGCTAGGTCGGATAGCTCCTCCTCAGACATTTTCGAAGATTAATTTGCAAACAATGTTCCATATACAATTCCGGATTGGCCGGGCACGCAATCTCCGGTTTTTGAGGATCTCTGACCGAGTTCGGGGCGATTCCGGTCCACGTTTCGCTCAGTTCGTTTTTGTTTACCCTCTTTTCTTTTCATTTTTTGATATTAATTATATTTTAATTTATTTCAAGGAGAGGAAACTCAAGGAGACACATTTTTTGCGGTGTTTTCTTTTCATTTTCCCTTCACTTGGGCACATCTGCATCTTGGGGAAAGTGCTGCCAGGGCATCTAACTGGTGTATACACAACAGAATTAACACATTCGTTGCGATGCGGGGGGAGTCACTCCTTAACCCGCCCCCGCACCGTAGCTTGGCCCAACTTCGCCCAACACAAACAATTGCAAGTTATTTGTGAAAATTTTATTGTAATTACAAAAGTTTTCCCATGTTGTTTCGCCACGCTTTTCCCCCTTCCGTGATACCTTGAATTATACACAAAATAGGTTTCCCTCCATCGCATCGGTATTCCTATTCCTATTCCAGCTACAGCCCCCAACTCTCAGCCTCAGCTCCTCCTGCTCTCCTCTCCACCTTCGCCTTCAGATTCCATTCGGTTTGGTTCAATTTCGTATTTGGGGCTCGGTTCGAAAACTCAATGTTTCAGCAAACTTTATCCACTTCATTATTTGCTCGTTTCCATTGCTGTGTTTCGCTGTTTCGCCTGTTTGCTCGCCAGTTTGCATTGTTGGCTCGTTTCGATTTTAATTGTATCTGCGTGCAGGGAGGCCCCCACTCCCTGCCAGACCAACCCCCCATCCCCCAGCCCCCTTGAGTACTTGCGTGTATATTAAATACCGGAAAGTTCTCAGGTCACCGAAGGGCAAGCGGTCGCGGAAAATCGCAGGTGGGGCGGGAAAAACCGGAGCTGGGGCTTGGTTGGTGAACGTGCGTGAGCGTGGAAAACTCAAGTATTGTGCCTTAAAATCAGAAACTTGAACTTTACTAAAACTTCTTTAAGTCGAGCAAAATCTACGCAATCTCACTTTTAATCTGCACTCTCCCCCAGCGATTAATTAAGCCGGAAATAGTCTTCGATTTACGGCTTATAAATGTTCAAGCCATCTGAATAATTTATGGCTGAAAACTCTTTACTGTTTGGCTTTTCTTACAATTAATTAATTTATATATGTTAAATTAATGCATTCGTATCCGCTTGTGGCCAAAAATATAGCAAAAGTGTTAGCGTTCTTTTTATTTGTAAAGATTAATGGCAATCATTTATATTTTAATATTGCTTTTAATAGAAACATTAAACGAATTATACCGTTCTTACGAAATAAATTATTAAATTGCTCAGTTTATTATTTATCCCTAGGCAGATTATGAATGCTGATTTTCAGAGTTGGACAATAATATTCAATACACTAGATAGAAAAAATAAAATCATACATATACAGGGCACACAAAATTTCGGCAAAATCGGATTATACCCTTGCAGGGTATTACAATTTCAGTCAGAAGTTTGCAACGCAGTGAAGGAGACCTTTCCGACCCTATAAAGTATATATATTCTTGATCAGCATCAACAGCCGAGTCGATCTAGCCATGTCCGTCTGTCCGTCTGTCTGTCTGTCCGTCTGTCTGTCTGTCTGTCTGTCTGTCTGTCTGTCTGTCTGTCTGTTTCTACGCAAACTAGTCCCTCAGTTTTAAAGCTATCTGAATGAAACTTTGCATATAGTCTTCTATATACTCTCACTGCTATATATGTCGGAACGGGCCAGATCGGACGACTATATCATATAGCTGCCATACAAATGTTCGATATATTTTTCGAAAAAAATTTATAACTTTGCTGTTTTTCAACATTTTTGCACAATTTTTTAGATATTGCCATTTTATATTATTTCAGAATTTTTGTAAAAATTTTATGAAAATCGGAGGACTATATGATATAGCTGCCATAGAAGCGATCGGTAAATGTATAAAATATGTAAAGCTGAGAATATAAAACTGTAACTGTCGAACTGTACACATAATAATATAGGTAAAATGTAATGAAACACTGTTTTGTGAGTGTGTTCTTCTTGTGTCTTTTTAAATTTATTTATTTAAATTTTTTATCCTTTCACATTTTAATGTCTTGGTTTTCTGTTCCTGCTGGACCGGCAGGAACGGCGGCGACTGCCTCGCCTGCCGGCCCGGAAGTTACGGCGAGGCCTGCCGCGCCTACCGGCCCGGCAGGCGCGGGAGCGGCAGCTGGCGCCCTATTCGGCAACGCCAAAATTGTATCCCGGAACTCGGGATGACCCATTTGGACTGCTAGCTGGGCCAAGGCCCAGCGTTCCTTCCTATCCAGCCCTTGGGGGTCGGGAGCAGTCCCGCCGCGTGGTCCTCTGGCGCCGCCTGTGCCGCCACGTGCTCCTCTGGCGGCGCCGCGTGCTCCTCTCCAGCCGCC